TACGTGCGTGCCGCGTTCGCGCCCTCTCAACCATAGGTGCGATAGGGGGAGCCGGGCTCTCCCCAGGTGAAGGGGGTCTCGGCTGTTTCCGACCTTCCAGGGTGAAGGGGGTATGTGAGTCTAGGGGGGGGGGAGGAAGAGAGAAAAGGTAAAAAAGCGTGGTATGAAGAGCTCTAATTTGCACCTTATTTAGGCACAAATTGAAAAAAAAATTTAAAATTTTTCAAAAGAAATTAAAAAATCAAAAAAAAATTGATTATGAAGATCTGTGCTCCTGTTTCACTGCATCAACAAAAAACGAAAGCAATAATGTTTATCCCAAAAGATGTACAAGTTAGGAACAACTTCATTTCCTGCACATCATCATCAACAATATCACTATCGCTAACGTCAGAGACAACAAGTTCGCTGCCTGAAAAATCTTCTTCTTCCTTCAAAAGGTCATCGGAGTAGAAGTAGAATTGCGTGCAAAAGCGTTCTGAGTCGAAAATGGATTTGAAACTTTCTTCTTCTTTTAAGCGGTTTTGTGATTTTTTTCGTGGCCCTCTGGTAGCACCAGGAAGTCAGCAGGTAGGTGACCAGTTTCTTCATACCTTCTTTAAGGATATTTCAAAAAGTCATACGGTAACAGCCTGTCTGGACCACTTATATCAATCCTTTAAATGAAGTTTTCAGATAACAATGGTAGAAGGTTGACAAATCTTAAGTATTTGCTTAGATGCTCTATCGTGGTACGACTTCTGCGTTGTGTTCTGATAACAGAGTAGATAGAAAATTTCTTTCTCTACCTCTGCCGTGCTAGTCGGAATGGAAACTAGCTTTGCTAGTAGGCCCATCAGATTTTTGCGGTAAGTAATGGGAAAAGAGCCAAATCTCATATGCTTTCGCAACACGGGAAGGAAATAGTGTACTTTTTGGGCCTTGTCGAACTCTGGCTTCACCTCCTCTGGCATACGTCCTGTTAGCTAATCAGAAAGCTGCTCAACTTCTTCTTTACCAGCATCTGCGGAATAGCCGAAAAAAGGAGGTACTATGCTGCGCGTTGGTTTTTTTTTTCAATATCATAGGTCATATTGTCACAAGGCGAATAACTTTCAAAAGCATAAAGCACAGAGTTGGGTTCGCACTCCAGCCGGGATCTAAGCGCAGTAACTATGCTTTATACTAACACCTTCCTTTTGTTCATATCCATGTTTGTGAATTTAGCAGCCTTGAATTCTTCAGCAACCTGAAGATCAGCAATGGACTTCCTGGACATTTCCTCATTGAAACTAGACAATCTGCTTGGATTCCTTATGCAGGAAATCAGAGAGTTTCACTCAATTGCCAACTCTGTATCAATGTCGACAACATTTTCGTCGGCGTAAGATTCTCCTTCTGCCTCGCTGTTGAACTGGAACACATGCGAGTCATCTGCGATTTTGTAAAGTATTCTGCCTGCCATTTTTCAAACTGCCAACCTTTCCAAAACATTGAGGAATATTTTAATAGCATGTTATTCTTCTGAATGTCTTAGATTTAATTCATTGAAACCAACCATTCTCTAAAAATTAGGCAAGGTGAGTCTAGAGCGTTTTCACGAAAGTGACCTTCTTCAGCACTAGGTTTACAGAGTATAGATTCCAGAAATGGGCGGGTATTGTGTGAAGGTGTGGAAAATCACCAATCTCCCATAGTTTTTTGAGTGTGTGCTAACAATGATGGCATAACTGTCAATCAAAAGCGCATTTTTTACCAAAAAAACGTAAACATATAACAACGATAAGCACGCTCAAATAGACGCGTTCGCTCACGTTCCCGTTAGTGCTGATAACGATTTCAATCCACAGCACATTTTTTACTATTAACTTGCTCCACCTCGCTCTTATTAGGTCGTCCAGAAAGTTTTTGCACACGAATTTCAAAATTCATAACTTCTGATTTTTCCAACCGATTTGACTGCTTCCAATTTTATGTGAAAGTGTAAGCCATGCTCTTTATAATGACATCTCAGCTGCTTAGTAATGGTCATCTGTTGCATAGATAGGAGCGATAGAAGAAAAATGGTAAAAATTTCAAATTTCTGTGTAGGGTTATAAAAAATCGGAGACTTGCAACAAAAATCGGAGCAGTCAGTACTGTAGGTTCTTTCACCAGCTCTTTCTAACAGTGCAAAGTTTGCGCCGATTGAGCGTCTCCATGAAAAGTTATGGTTTCCCTGAAGAATGCCAAAATAAATCAAATTCGCCTTTTTGTACTGCTTGCTCGGAAATTATAACTTTTCATGGAGACGCTCAATCGGAGCAAACTTTGCACTGTTAGAAAGAGTTGGTGAAAGAATCTAAAATACCGACTGCTCCGATTTTGTTGCAAGTTTCTGATTTTTTATGACCCTACACAAAAATTCAAATTCCGAGTGATTTTGTTTGAGCTTCTATCTATGCAAGAGATGACCATTACTAAGCAGATGGGATGTCATTACAAAGAGCATGACTTACCCTTTCACATAAAAGTGAAAGCAGTCAAATCGGTTGGAAAAATCAGAAGTTATGAATTTTTGAAAATTGTGCTCAAAAACTTTCGGGACGACCTATACAATGTGTTGGCTTTTATGGGTTACCGGAGAAAATGATTTTTAGAGCCGGGAAGCAAAGAAGCCCTAACATGCTGTATACCATTCGAAAGCTGAGATCATGGAGAATCGACGTAGACCGTCGCCTTTTTTCCTGGTCTTCTGTGACGCGAGATATGAGGGATTTCATGTGCTTCAAAAATTAGCTGATTTTGTGCCCTCACTTTCTGCTCTCCAAATGAATGCTACGAGAAAGTCGACGGTCTACGTTTGTCAATGAAGACTTGCTCTTTAACACAGATAGATAAGCAGCAGTGATTAGGTCTTCATTTGGCAGAAATCTGCTGTTGAAAATGACCATGTTTTCAGATAAAATGCAGTGTATCTCTCGGTAGAGGGGGGCTAGAAAGAAGTCGACGGTCTAGGTCGAATCCCCTTTTCTTAAGCTTTCGAATGGTATATAGGTTGCTGGGCGAAAAAACGGACCAGTTTTCAAAAAAGGGGTGGAGATATTTACTATTAGCTTGCTCCAATCCGGCTCCACCAATGTATTGGCTTTTATCGGTTACCGGAGAAAATGATTTTTAGAGCCGGGAAGCAAAGAAGCCCTAACATGCTGTATACCATTCGAAAGCTGAGATCATGGAGAATCGACGTAGACCGTCGACTTTTTTCTAGGTCTTCTGTGCCGCGAGATATGAGAGATTTTATGTGCTTCAAAAATTAAGTAATTTTGTGTACTTACTCTCTTCTCTCCAAAATGCTACGAGGATAAATAAATAATATAAATAAACATAAATACCGTTTCTTTAGTAAATTTATGAGTGTACTTGTTGTTTGAGGTACCTAGCCTGCTTTTCATAACGATTTTTATCATATTCTCAGAGTACGATACCAATCTCAGCCCAGGTGAAGGGGGTCATCGGGAGTTTGGCCTCAAAGTGAAGGGGGTAAGATCCATCACTCCCCCTATCGCAACTATGCTCTCAACTGGTACTGTTTCTGCGCCTTCGTCCTGCAGTAGCCTTCGTGTTCTGAGAACAAGAAGACATAAGGGCTTGGGAACAGGCAATGTTTTGAGATCAACTGTTACAGATATGAGGATAATGCGCATTTCACGTGTGATAAAGGCCGTCCGCGCAGGGCGCGGAGAGTGCGCAAGGTGTGTATTGCGCGTCACTCCTCTTTCCCCGTGCACTCTCGCCGCCTGTTTTTCTCTGCGCTCAACTATCTTCACTGGACGCAACAGCGTTGCTCTCCGCGCGCAGCGCGGACAACCTATATTAAGATCATCAACGAGAGCACGAGCCGAATGTCCCAGTACCGAGCCTTTACTGTCTTATGGCTTGACGTCTCCCTGCGAGTCTTCCATGTCTCCAACAGCTCCCGCACCTACACGCCGTTACCAGTGTTCCACCGCATCTCCTATACTGCTGAACCGTCCCTACACAATGAACCTGGCACCTAATGGTCTTGCAGTATTATGACAGCAGCTTCGACAGCACTACGCTTACTCTCTCCGCTGCTGAAGTGGTAGGGCGAGAAATGGGGGGGGGAGTAGGACAGATATCAATGCCATTTTGACATGGAGCCAGGAACGCTTCTGAACAGGTGATTGTCGCGAAGCGGCAACTCTAGGTAGCGAAATTCGCGCAGCCTATGAATCATGGTCCTTTACATTTTACAGAAACTGTGCCCAAAGTTCTACAGGTACCTCAGATTTAAATTCTCACAATGCAGTCCACATCAGCTTTTGCCATCCTCTTTTTAATTGTAAGAATTTCAAGTAATCACTTTGTTTTCGACTGTCTTCTGTTACGAAGGAGTTACTACGGCGCAACAGGCGATCAGTAAACATAGCAAAAAAACTATGTATAATTGTTCATGGACCTAAAAATATTACCTAGACAAAGCCTGATATCCTATGCATTGTTTCTGTTTTTCCAAACTCAATTTGAAAAGTAGTTGGATGCTAGATAACAAAGCAAGGAAAAGTCATACTAGCTTCTTTTTGAGCTTTTTGCGATCCGCCTGTGATATAAATCAACTGATCTATAGTATAGGGAATGTTGGAGAGGAGTTATGTATTACTTGCAAGTCAAATTCAAACTTGATACTTCGAAGGTGGTATAGTCACGGCTCAAGATCGTGCTTAAATGGTGTTAAATTTTTCCTTTCAAGCGGTGCTGTGAAATTTGGATATTCGAGTGCTCACGACTTTTTTACAAACAGGAAAGGAAAGAGATTTGAAATAAACGTTCGAAGCCGCATCTGGTCGCATACATCTCTTTTCGATTCGCATGCGACTCGAAATCCTTCTCTTTTTAGTGTGTTGCCAGTCTTCGAGTTTTTTCTGATCCAAGCTCAGGTAAAGGTAAAAATGCTGGGGTAGTTGAAAATGTTGTGAGCGAGAGGCACACTGAGTAGCCTTAAGATTTTATTTCTGTTGTTACTGTCTTTTGAAAATATCGTCTTTAACATCAGCTAGTGTCTCATATTCTGGGTCTTTTGCATCGGCTTTCTGGATCTGTAAAAAGTTTTGCTCTGAGTGGTCACTTATATTAGGTTGTCCCATAAGTCTTTTCATTTTTGAATTTTCGCTGTAATAAGTCACACACTTCTTACTCTTAATAGACATCAGGATACCGTTCGATAGAGCAAAGCAAGCTCTATAAGATGGCGCTTACGCTTTCGCACAAGCTTTGGTCTATCTCGAGTTTTAAACCAAAATCTAAAAAGTTTCGGGTGGCCAAAAAACCGAAATTTTTTTATATCTTCGTTCAAAAAAATCCTACAAACCTCAAACTTGCTCACGTTTAAATATTTCACATCAGACGTTCATATGTGCTGTTGCTGCATTTTTTTATCAGCTAGAAGTCAAGAAACCGAAAATTTTCATGTTTTTACCTAAGTGATGCTGTGCTGTTCTTACACAAACAGTTGCATAGTAGAAGCCCTCAGAAGTACTGCAGTAGATTTTTGGTTCTCTATATGCTTTAGTTCACGAGAAATATCAAACTTAGCTTTCTTTACTTGGGTTTTTCACGCTTAAATCAACATTTCTCAGAGACCAGAGCTTATAGAGAGCTAAAAATTTACAATAGTACTTCTAAGGGCTTGTATTATACAACTGTTAGTGTAAGAACAGCAAGCATCACTTTGGTAAAACATGAAAATTTTCGGTTTCTTGATTTCTAGCTGATAAAAAAATACAGCAACAGCACATATGAATGTCTGATGTGAAATATTTAAACGTGAGCAAGTTTGAAGTTTGTAGGATTTTTTTGAACGAAGATATAAAAAAATTTCGGTTTTTTGGCCATCCGAAACTTTTTAGATTTTGGTTTAAAACTCGAGATAGACCAAAGCTTGTGCGAAAGCGTAAGCGCCATCTTATAGAGCTTGCTTTGCTCTATCGAACGGTATCCTGATGTCTATTAAGAGTAAGAAGTGTGTGACTTATTACAGCGAAAATTCAAAAATGAAAAGACTTATGGGACAACCTAATAAAATGACGATTGACGGCAAAACTCTACCTTTGGTGGCTGCTTGAATTTATCCTTTTCTGCAGCGGCATCGACCTTCTTACTTTTACTTTTGTTCTCAGGCTTCGCAACATTGAACAGCTCGTTACCTATTCCTTGCAGCGTCTAAGTGCGATGAATTATAAATGTATCGATAGCTATCAACTTTTAGTTAATCAGTATGTACCTCATATGCCGGGTCTTTCGCGTCTGCCTTTGCTATGTTTGGAGGAGGCTTAAACTTCTTTCTGTCTGGATTCTTATCTTCGTCCGATGATCCCTGCAAATGTTTGAAACTTTTCAATAACGGCTTTCAATAATTGTCGACGAATATTACCGGGAGTGGTGTTGGAGGTCTTGCATCTTTAGCTTCCTTGTCTTCTTTCTCGACCTTCTGATCGGCTTATTCGCGTCCTGACTTCCCGGCATTTTATGTTCCGCCAGCTTCGCAAGCTCTCGCTCCTAGACCAACTCATAGCCGGATTCAATATGTAAAGTAGTCATTCTCACCGCTTCTTCTGCACTTTTCGCTTTAGCGGTTTCAACAGATTTTTTGGGCGACTTCTTAAACAAGTAATTTTAGTGGTCAAATTAGAAAAGACCCTTTGAAAAGACTCTTACAAAGATGACAGCAAAAGATGTTTTCAGGAAAATTTTGCTATTGCTTTAAGGATGAGCTAGTCAAAGCTGATGTTTGTATTTTGGCCTTCTTTGGATGCAAAAGTTTGAACATAACAAAACAGTTGGAGAATATGACAGAAAAGATTAAGGGAGATACATTGCGTTTGGCGATTCTCTCTAGCCATTCAAAGATGACAAAACATAGTTATTCCCATTCTGCTTGCCATGCTCACCTTATTTTCAACTTGAGGTGATTTGGCTTTATTAGCACGATGCATGGTCTCACCAGTGTACGTAAGTTGTGGCTGAAATTGATTCCAAGTTATTTTAGTTTGCACAGAAAACACTCACATCTTTGAGCATCAGGACAGCCACATCTCTCTCAAACTCGTTCACATCTGGGTCGAATCGCAGCTGCTCAGCACTCAATTGAAGCACTGATCCGGTGGTCTAAACGCCTTGTCAAAAGCTTTTGTTCAGAGCTAGCTTCATCTTACCGAACTATTTTCTACTAGCTTTGCAGCGGATTTTAAATTGTCGTCACAGTCTTTTAATCTTTCGAGGACCTGTGCGTAAACTCCTCATATTTCTTAGAAATATATTTTAACAGGACGAATCACTCACCCTGGACACCTTTGTATGAATTGCCCAAGCTATACAATGGGATAGAATCGAGAATAACAACCCAACAGCGAATATGACAATTTCTGCTACACTCATCTGCAACATCCATATTTGACAATGATATAACGTCAGCTCCTGACATACACTAACAGTGAGCGAAAGCTTATTAACCAAAAACTATCATAACTTATAATAACGGGCTAAGGGTTGTTTACGTTTGTCTGTGTGTGTGTGTGTGTGTATGTGTGTGTGTGTGTGTGTGTGTGTGTGTGTGTGTGTGTGTGTGTGTGTGTGTGTGTGTGTGTGTGTGTGTGTGTGTGTGTGTGTGTGTGTGTGTGTGTGTGTGTGTGTGTGTGTGTGTGTGTGCATGTGTGCATGTGTGTGTGTGTATGTATGTGTGTGCATGTGTATGTATGTGTGTGCATGTGTGTGTGTGTGTGTGTGTGTGTGTGTGTGTGTGTGTGTGTGTGTGTGTGTGTGTGTGTGTGTGTGTGTGTGTGTGTGTGTGTGTGTGTGTGTGTGTGTGTGTGTGTGTGTGTGTGTGTGTGTGTGTGTGTGTGTGTGTGTGTGTGTGTGTGTGTGTGTGTGTGTGTGTGTGTGTGAATCTCTGTCTGTCACGAAATTCGTAGAGCGTGTTCCAGCCAACGTCCTGAGCCCAAATTTTGCACAGCGCACGCTACCAGCATGAAAACTCACTATACAAAAGCATGAGCGGATCCGTTGAGTGGATCCATTGAAAATTGCGCGTCAAACGGATCCACTTGGCTTCTGGCCAGCAAATTTGGGTCCGTAGTACTACTTTTTGCAGAGTTAAGGATATATTTGACAAGTTAATGTGCAAGCCATGGACGTTAGCCTAAAAAAGTAATGAAAAGTCTACTACTCTACGAAAACAGCGCCAAAAAGCATTCGCTGTGTAAATGGTCAAATTTTCAAGATTTTACCTGATTATTTGAGAAGAATTTTGCACAGAGGTGTAGCTCACTATGTCTATTGTTTTTACGGCGACTACCAAGCCATAAAAATTCCAAAAGCCCATTCGAATTTGCATCTGTTCTTCTGGGAAAGATTTTATCCACGCGAAAATACCGATCTCACATGGAAGACCTCTACGAATGAGTAGTTGTTTACGAATTATTCGTGATAGCCTACATAGCGCGGTGAGTTTCAATGTCATTATTATGCGGGAATGAGTAAGGCATACAGAGAATAGGGCCAGAGCGAGCCTCTGCGAAGCAGAGGTGACGCACTGGTGTAAAATGAACTTGACTGCACGACGCTGTTGCTTGTTGCTTTCGTAAGCTGTGATATAACATTGCATAATAATACGAGTAGGTTTCATAAACCATATTCCTACATGCCATACAACCACTGAAAACATGGTACGGATTCTTCTACTTGCTCCAAATTTCTGCACACTGTAAAGGCAGCGTCCAGGCAAGTCTGGACCTATGGGGATTTTACGTGGAAAGTATTTTTGGGGCCCTAACTAAGCCACTGCCCAACCGGCAGCTCAGGTAGTGCCCTAACGCCTGAGATATTCCCCTCGAAACTGGACCCCGCGAACGTGTTTCGCATGGATTCATGGCGCAAAGCGTGGATCCTGGCGCGAAACTGCCATGAATCCATGCGAAACACGGTCGCGGGGGCCAGTTTCGAGGGGAATATCTTAGGCGTTAGGGCACTACCAGAGCTGCCGGTTGGGCAGTGGCTTAATTAGGGCCCCAAAAGTACTTTCCACGTAAATTCCCATAGGTCCAGATCTGCCTGGACGCTGCCTTTAATGCATAACTCCGCGGTACTGATTGGTGTTCGATCTAACAAAGGAACAACAATTGGTGACTCTGGCCTTTCACAATATGTTAGACAGCAGAATGCTTGCCTTAAAGCGCAGATCCCGGAACATGTTGTGTATCTGCCGAACGCTTTTCTGAAAAGAAATAGAGCCTGTTAGTTCAAAAATATTCGCTCCGACAACGATTTCATTAAATTTTGCTGGCTGACACATTTATCAAATAGGCTTGTATCTCAGAGGTCTTTCTCAGCTAATCAGAAATTTTGGAGCCGACTCAAGCCAGGAAGGAAAGTATCGTTTATCTTCATAGACTTTGTCAATGGCCTATAGCAGACATTTCCAGCTTCGAGACTTTAATTCTAGAAGAAAGTTTGATTGCTAGAGTTGGGGGTTGAGCGATAAGAAGAGCGCGGGGAAAATGCTATTAGAGCGCAAGTTTACTTTTACACTTTCCGTGATGACCACTGCGAGCCTCTGCGAATCAGAGGTGAAGCAATGAGGAATTTAAAAAGAAGCTGGCGTACAATGCTTTTCTGAGGCCTCGGGCCAAGTTCACGCGATTTCATCGTCGCGATTCATCGCCACAAGGCAACTGTAACAATATTTTTGCATGCCGATCTTCTTGCATTTCAAGTGTGATACTTTTCCAACATGACTAATCGTGACTAATCACAACTGAATCACAAAAAGATCGGAATGTAATGAACTCGTCACTTGCCTTGTCGCAATGCATCGCAACGATAAAATCGCGTGAACTCTGCCCGAGACCTGAAGGGCCGGGAATACTTCACGCGGTTTCACCTTAAGTTCGCGACGCGATTTGATCCGCCAAAAGTCTTTAGATTCAACACTAGCAAATTAAATTACGTGGATTGATAAAATACCCTGACTTTTGTACATTTAAAATATGCTTACAGTGAGTTATGGACAGTTGGAATATTGCCAAGACGCGTCGCGACTGAAATCGCGTGAACTATGCCCGGCCCATAAAAGGGCTAACAATTTCATTTTCAAGCTCAAAACTCGTTTTCGAGCTATGCTCTTTCACGAGGCACTAGTGGTTTTTTCATCTCCTAAAAATCTCGAAACTCTTAAGCTCAGAGTGCTTGTACAAATGTGAGCCGCAGCTTATGTCAACGTCATTGTAGAATGATGTGATGCTAATTGTAAAGATTCTTATAGCTACAAAGAATTCGAGTGTACCTTGATGGAAACACCGACCGTTTCACTGTCTACTGACTTATACTCCTGAGCTCCTACAAAATTAATAAAACTTAACATTGTCGTAAAATGTCACGTTGGAGTTTTTGAATGAAGAGATGGGTGGAGGAAACGAGGGTATGAAGGAGAGGAAAAATGAAGTAAACGGCAAAAATTTATTCTATCTTTGGTCTGACATACCTTTGAACGTTGGCGACGCGATTAGAGTGAAGATGAATTTCGAAGTCGACTGCGTTATCACCTTAAGTTCACGCGCCCAAGACACACCTCTTTCATTTTTCAATCAGGAGCTTAGCCGCACCGCTGTGCCTCCACGAAATGTTCGCTCGCTTACACAATTCTTTTATGTAAAAAGCAGCACAATAAAGGCTCCTTTGGTTGCGAAAATCTTAGGTTTGTTCAGGCTGGTCGAGTAAAAAAAAAACAGGTGCGACTCTTACTAGTGAAAATAGGAAACTTGTTTCTGCGAGCAACCGATATTGTATTTCCTTCCTCTTCACAGCGATTTTATACCAAAAACGTTCGCGTTCGAAGTCTTAATGGGTGGATACTACGCTACACCATTATCAATCAGTATCATCGTGTAAATCCATCATATATTTTCGTCCTAAGGCAGTGTATTTTCGGGTATATACTTCACTGCTGCCCTTACAACATAGACGAGATAAATGCATAGCATGGATTTTCTTAGCTCGAAGATGCGGATTTCAGGAGCCTATGATTGTAGTAGTGCGCGATATTCAGTTCACGGAACATCTAAACGAGTTGCAAGTTGAAATCAACTTGAGCTGCGCGATGGGCCATAGCGGTGTAGTGTTTTAGGTCCTGGCAAACCTACACTGAGCCTGAGATTCTAGCACGCGAAAAGAGTGTGTTGATATCACGTAAAGCTGTCAGCTTACCAATCATGCGGATCTGAGTCAAGAGCTGAGGGACAGTTTTGATATGAAGCGCAAAAGCTTTCGTTCTTCCATCTGATCTGGATCTCACCACCCTATTACGCAGATGAATCTGCTTTTTATAGGCCAAAAGAAGGAAATACTTTGTTTTTGGGGCCTGTGAGGCTCTGGCGACTGCCACCGCTGAAACATTCGTACGAAAAAGTGGATAAAAACCCTTCATTTTCTGCTGAAACAAATTTTAGAAAAAGTCAGTAAATTGTCATTGGAAAAAAAAGCGAGTAAGGAAGGAGTAAGGCGAAACAGCTAATGTTAATGCTTGCACATATAATTCTAGTTAAATCTACATATTTAAATGGTGTTTGGTTTGATCCAGTCGAATCGAACATCAAATTCGTACCATTTCGGTTTGCGCTATTTCAGGTCTATGCGTCCGCAAATCTCTAATGATGATATATCTTTTCCGGAGTTATTACCTTTTACTGTCCATCAAACGAAGTGCTAACTCATGTACCATTCCTATTCGCCTCTGATAAAAAATAAACATTGAGATAAACAAGTACGTTAAGCACGTTTCGTACTATTTCAATGTGGCGAGACACAGTATGCGGTCGCACATGCTGAAACGTCTTTATTGTTTCACATTTATTTTGCAGCTAGGGTGAGCATCCACGTTTCAGCAAAGCTTTCCGTTTTTTTTACAATCATCTCTTAGGTTGCCTGAGAATATGACAGAGACAAATACGACGCAAAATGAAATTAACAAAACCCTCACAATGAAATTTCTGGCAACAAACTTTAGCAGTGCCACATTCAATATAGAGTCTTCGACAACAACTGCTGTGCCAAAAATTCCTGTCTGGGAGGGGTGAGCTTCTTGCTGTTAAAGAGGGTCAGATGTGACGAATTAGGTCGTCTTGATGAAAGTGAAGGCGGGGCTTCGTGACCTAGTTGAGGCTAGATAATGATCAGAGAGCACGCGCGCGAGAGAGACGCAGACTCGTCCCGGGCGCGAGCGGACTTAATTAAGTCACAGAAGCCCCGCCTTCAAGGAGACAAGCCAGTTGAATCAAAGGTTAGGCGCGCAAAGGCGGCGCAGGAGTAGTTGACCGTCTCTGGCATCCGTGCTCTTAAACGGCGACGGTACTCTACATTCGTGCTGCTCCGCAACGACAATTATTTCAAGAATTTATTCATGAAACAGTTTTATTTATTCATTCTTTTGAAAACCCTGAACTGTTTTCACCTTACACTTTTTCCAATTAAAAGTATCACAGTGGTAATTGACAGTTGACAATACTCGCCAGAAAAACAGCCTGCAGTGTGTCAATGCTAGCTGGAAAGAAACCTACATCGTATTTTGTGGATACCTGCTGTTTTAAAAAATATGAAGACTGAAATTACAGGCTCCTCCTCTTATCATTCATTTCCGCCTGTCTTATTGCGGGAGGATTTCTCTACGCTCTTTTGCTTTGGATTATTTCCAAAGTGTATTATTTCAATGGCGATGAAGAGCAAAGAGCTGCTGATCCCGAAAAAGTGGAGGTAAGATCTGGCATAAGTTTAGCGAATCAGTAACAAATATTTTGGAAAGGCAAAGGCCTTTTCGCACGGCGTAACATTCTGACAATGATACAAGCGTCTATTATTTGCAGAACTTGCAAAGATTAGAACAAAAGCCCACACCTTTGACACAGCCATTGCAACCGCCTGGATTAAGAGTTCCAACGGAAAAACTCGTAAGCACATTGGTATCTGCACATGCAAAAGATTGCGATTATAGGGCGAGACTGGAAACAAAAGCAATGCTTGCCTCTCCATTCCAAACCCTTTTAGACATTTCCTTCTTTCCAATTCTAAGATGCTCCAATGCCGTGCATGAAAATAAGACCAGATGCCTTTTTTGAAGGGGGAGAGTGTTGAGCTGCCTGACATTCTGGATTTTCCGTTTGATCTCAATATTTGACAATGGATTGGAGGAGTTGTCAGCGCTTCTCTAGCTCCAATGTAGTCTGAGACGATGACTTTATGTCGATCACATTGGCGCAAGAAACCTAATTTTTTATGAAATCATTTACTTAAGTGGAGCCGAGCAGCGTCTTATCCAACCTAGGACTTCTTCAACTGCCGTGAAATAAACTGTTACTATTCATTTTAGCATCATGCATTGGACAACGAGAAATCGCACAGTCTTGAAGAAGTCACGTTTGATTTGGGCTCTGATCCCCTGAGATAAGGGGGCCTCCAAAGATTATCTGGCTATTGTTAGTGGTCTTATGAGACTTTTGAGTAATCACCAAGCACTGTATATTTTTAGGATGCAGTGTACAAACCTCCTCCAACTAAAAAAGAAAACACTGACAGCAGCAAGCGAACGGCGCAGAAACGCTCAACAGAGAAACAAGATCATCTCTTGAGTCCAGAAGATCCACATGAGGAGAGCGATAAGAAGAAATCAGGCAGCGAAAAGCAACTCTCAACAAAACACTCTACATCTGATTTGCTTCTGAGTCCACCAACAACTCCAAAATTTTTGTCTCAAAGCGAAAAAGGCAGCGACACTCAGCGAAGTGCAAAATCAGGAACGGTTGGATATTCTTAGAAATCGCGGAGAAGGTCGTCAGCAGCAGAGTCTCTAAGAAAGCCTTCAGTTCGCGAACACTATTCGAACAGAGCCATGGGCGAGTTACTGCTGCCATTAGAGGAGTTAGAGAACTGAAGATGTCAATATGAAAAGCCCGAAACTTGTAACTAGATTTTACCAACATATCTTCGCTCTCAATAAATATTAATTAACGAAGATTACGGGAACAGACCAAGACGAAATGTTTTTCTACGAAATTTCCGCGCTAAGGCCGTCTGTTTTTTTGTGTGTCTGTCTGTGTGTCTGTGTGAAAATCTGTCTGTCACGAAATTCGTAGAGGAAGCTGCAGCTAAGCTATCGAGCTGCAATTCTGCATAACATACCGCGCCAGCGTGTAGGCCCACTATGCACAAGGACAAGCCGGTTCGATAAGCGGGTCCCTCAAAATTTGCGCGTTAAACGGGTCCACGCGCCTTTCGGCACGCAAAACTGGGTCACTATTTAGACTTTTTGCAAAGTTATGATTTGCCTGACAAGTAACTCTGTGTGTCATGAATTCTAGCCCAAAATGTGCTCAAAAAGTTTGCTTTTTTGCGAAAACAGCGCCAAAAAGTGATAAACGCGTAGATAATCGATTTGGCAAGGTTTTATTTTGAAAACTGAAAAAATTTTTGCATTGAAATATAGCCCAAGGTGACTATTATCCTTATGACGATTAGAGATCTAAAATAAATTCAGTAATCCGTTCAAAATCGCATTTGTTTCCTTGCAACAAAGTTTTTTTTCCCAAAATTACCGATCTTACATGGAGATGCTTCAGGAATGAACAGTTGTTTACGATTCACTAGCTGGCTTACCCGGCTCCGCCGTATGTTCCGAATAGAAAATTTCATTTTTTAACCGATCCGGACCAAACTTGCACACATACCCTTCGGGCCCCGGCGGGTGTCACAGTCCACTTTTCGTTATCGATCGATGTCGATTTTATCGATTTTTTGCAAAGTTTGAGCTAGGGGGCTGGAATTTGGCAGAGGGGTGTAATCGAGCATGCTGATCACCCCCACGAAAAGTAGCCTATGACACCCGCACACACAGACAGACATACAGACATACAGACAGACATACAGACAGACACATTCAGCTTTATATATAAGATTTGTGATGCTCAGTATTGCGTGGTGAGTTTGAAACTCATCCTCATGCGAACATGAGAAAGGTATACGCTCAGACAATAACTCGGACGAGCGGCGGGCCTCTACCGGGCGGGCGATCATGCCTCCCGCCGCTCGTCTTCTAGAGGCACGCGGGCCGCCCGCTAGAGATATGAAGCGGGCGAGCGGAGTACCTTTAGCGGGCGAGCGGAGTACCCTTAGCGGACGAGCGGAGCACTTCCCTCCACTCTCCCGCTAAAGGTACTCCGCTCGCCCGCTCGCATCAAAGCGGACGAGCGGGGTACCTTTGGCGGGCTAATATCTATATGTTGTCCCGCTCTCCCTCTAGAGATATGCCTCTTCTGAAAACTGAAGATTTAACAGCCTACTGTCATTGCGTTAATAATCTCTCCTTTCTTTTCCTATGGGCAGATGTGCTAACGCCTAAACTCTTGAGATAGATAGTACAAACAATTATTGTAACGTTTTATAGTTTACCAGTGCGTCACCTCTGCTTCGCAGAGGCTCGCACTGGTCTTACTTTAAATGCTTTATTTGTTCTCGCCTAATGATGTCTTTGAAACTCACCGTGCAATGACGACTACCACGAATGAAATGTAAACAACTACTCATTTCAAAGGGTTTTTCATGTGAGATCGGTAATTTCGCGTGGATGGAACTTTTCGCAGAAGAACAAATGCAAATTCGATTAGGTTTTTACACTTCTTTTGGCTTGGTAGTCGCCGTAAAGACAACAATTACCGCGAGCTACATTTCTATGCAAAAATCCTCTCAAATGGTCAGGCAAAGCCACGGCGGATTGACCATTTGCGCAACCATTTCTTTTTGGCTTCGTTCTGGTATAGTAGTAGACCTTCGGTCACTTTTTCGCCTAGTTAACACATCAACATGCCAAACTCATCCACGACTTTGCAAAAAACGTTGCGGGCCAGAAACCAAGTGGATCCGTCTGACTCGCAAATTCTGATGGATCCACCCAACGAATCTGCTCGTGATTTTGTACGGTGGAGTTCTACGCTGCTAGCATGCGCTGTGCAAAATTTGGGCTCAGGACATTGGCTGGAACTCGCTCTATGAATTTCGTTACAGACAGACGGACACACACACACACACACACACACACCACACACACACACACACACACACACACACGCACACACACACACACACACACACACACACACACACACACACACACACACACACACACACACACACACACACACACACACACACACACACACACACACACACACACACACACACACACACACACACACACACACACACACACACACACACACACACACACACACACACACATACACACACACACACACACACACACACACACACACACACACACACACACACACACATACACACACACACACACACACACACACACACACACACACACACACACACACACACACACACACACACACACACACACACACACACACACACACACACACACACACACACACACACACACACACACACACACACACACACACACAAAGTCACGTAAACACCCTTAGCCCGTTATTATAAGTTACTAGTTGGCTTCCCCGGTCCAGCCCGGGGTATTTTTCACAGATGAGGTAGAAGGTGCGGTTGCTAGCAAAACTACCGCACTGCAACCCCCCCCCCCACGTTTTTTCATATGAATGACCTACCTTGCGGCGCCCATTTCGGTTCACTGCCCCTCGTGCTCCTGGGGTAGAATTGAACTTCACCGCTCTCCTTTACATGACAATGAGAAAATGCTTGGTCAAACATGATAAGCCTTCCATTCTTTAGAAAACCGTAAAAAAAACAATAAATCGATAGAAGGACCCAACGAATCGCCGCAAAAAGTAGCCTATCATCTGCGCTGGGGTCGAAAACGTATGTGTGCAAGGTTTCAGCTGAATCGGTTGAGCGGCGTTCGTTTCTATAACGCACATAGCCTCCAAACTCACAATTTTGAGTTTTATATATATAGATGATTGATAAAGCTCACCATGCAAAAGCGCAATGAGCATGCTCAGCGTCATGAATTGAAACAGCACGAGCTAATAAACCGGAACAAAATAAATATCAACGAATCAAACAACAATATCACATTCTCATGAGCGCAAAAAAGGTGCAAAGATGCAAGCACTCATCTACACATACGCCAAAAATTCGCTGTTTACCAAGAAATTTCTTCTAGAATCTTCTCAATCTTTTTCTTCCACCTTCCGAGGCATCTTCATCTCGGTGCCGCACGCTTCTGTCGCTGAAGCACATAGAATAATCACTAAATTGTCTATTTGCTGTAATATTCTCACGTCGCTAGGTATCCGAGTGGTAACTGTAAGACCGCACATCTCGCCTAAATTTTACAAACATTATGTAGAATGGTGAAACCGATTTTCTTGAACATACAGCGCCATTTGCAGGCATCTGAAGAGGTGTGGCCGCCAGTCCTTTTGCTGCTCCATTAATTAATCCAAAATTTTTTCTCTTTCTTCATCTGTTTTTGCTAGATTTTTGTAAAACCTTCAATGAATTGTTTCGTAGTTCACAAAAGTCTCGATCTTTAAGAGCTCACTTAGAATCCTCAAGATTGACTTCCATCTAGGGTTTAAATTCGTCGTGCCCTAGGCACAATCAGCGCTGCAACCAGATCTTGCAGCTGAGTTACGCTCACTTTTTCTGAGCGCATCTTAGCTGCTTTGAGCTGCAAACAGCTGCTTTTGTTTGAATCTGCCTATTTTTGGCGGCTTTCAATCTACATCTAGCACTTTAAGAACAAATTCCGTCTTTCTTGCATGAACAAGTCATGAATGCAACCTAAGACCGTCAAATCAGGATTTTAGAGGCGGATATGGGAAAATATTGGGATGAATTGGAGGAACATACTCCATGAAGTTGAAGAGATATGAAAATCAAATGAATTACAGATTGGCAATATTTAAGTTGGCGGTGTGGTCAGATAAAATTGCGTCTCCAGTAGACCCGATCATGTCATTTGCCTGAGGGGCACTCTCATACTGCTAGGACAGCCATTGACAAGGGTCAAATGCAATCAGTACACTTATGCTCCTCTTAGGTTTGCTCGTTTAGGCTACCTTCACATTATGAATTTAACAACGAAAATTGGAAAATGACCTCATGATAAACCTCTCCTCATAAAAGTAGAATACAACCCCAGATCCAACCATGCTAATTCACTCGTTTTCGACATTGTAAAACCTGGCGATAGGCAGATATTATGTATGGTTTTTGCACTCAGCGAGCACTCAAGAAGCAGCCGACTGCAGCGCTGATCAGCCGAAGCAGCTCTGCCTTCGCTGCTCGTTGTGTCCATACCTAAGCAGCCAGGTATGTATCAAGCCTTATAGGCGCGCACTCGCGATGGGCATGTGGCTGGCCGGCAGATGCTCGCCATAACTGTCTGAGCACACTTACCTGCTTATTGTTGCTGGTCACTGCTAGTTGACCGCCCTCACGCCGCAATAACACTAAATAAGAATGACTCGCACATAGAAATGATGGCAAGTTAGTCTAACGCGTTAATGGTACGCCGCCCATCCGCTTGGGGGAGGGTCAAATCGCTGGTCAAACCAAGGTCCGCTGCTCGCACGCTCGGTAGGGAGGGTACGCCGCTCGTCCGCAAGAAAGCCACGCCCACAAATCAAAGCTCGCCGCTCGCCCGGAAAGCCATTAAGGTCCGCCGCTCGCCCGAGTTATTGTCTGAGCGGATAAGAGAGCCGGTGCGAACCTCCGCGAAGCGGAGGTGACACTGGTTACCTAAAAAGGAAAGAAATCATTTAGAACACACCGAAAACACCTACCCAAAAGATTGTCTTCTCC